AAAATTCCATCTAGGCAATATTCAATTTCTACTATTCTTGCTATTAAGAGCTTCCATAGAAACTTATTATAAACTCAACTGAGACTAAGCTAGAATATTTTCATCTCTGACTAGAGCCTTACTAACCACGTAAACGATGATCACAGAAGACCTGCTGCAGCGAGGGAAAAGGTGCTGAGAGGGCTCAGAGCAGCTCCCAAGTACTCATCTTTAGTCTCTCAAAGCCATACATTATTTTTTCAATGATGCCTTCTCTTGTGGCAGGAGGAGGGGGCAGTGGTGGTGATGGGGGTGCGACAAAGGGATAGACAGGACTGGAAAGAAACTACATTATGCTAATCAACACATTGATTATTTACTCACAGATAAATCCATGTCTCCCAGTCTTTTTTGTTCCTGCTCAATAACAGATTCTAATACTTTATAGTAAAGCATCTCTGCAAAACGAAAATGTTTGCTGGCAATTTCTGTAAAAATTAAAAAAAAAAAACCACACAAAAATCACATACAAAGAAAATATTGTGGGGGCCCTCCATGGTGGCACAAGGGGTTAAAGTGCAGCACAATGAAGTTGTCCGCAGCCTCTGCAGCATGAGTTCAATGCCAGGCCAAGGAGCTGATCCATTTGGCACAGCAGACCTCTCCTGTCCTGCCTGTTGCTCCCCTCAGCAGTTTACTTCAGTTAATCTGCCTGTTCTGCTCCCCACTCTGTTTCTGGTGGACCCTCTCACCTCCCTTATCCCCCCCGACTCACCCCCCCTCCCCCACCTCTGGCCAATACTTCGGTTCTTGTATACATGAATAAATAAACCTTAAAAAAAAGTACAAAAAAGTACCTCAAGTTCAGCATATTAAAGGGGTGTGCAATAACTTTCTTACCAAGAAGTGGCCAAATTAAAATTAACCTGGCTGGCAGAAAAATTAGAAATATCCCTAACCGAGAGTCTAAAGTCATAATCTTGTCCTCATATTTCCAACTCAGTTACCAAGAGAAGATTCCATGTAGTTAAACATCAAAGATTCAGCAGTGGACAATATCAAGCCTTACCTTTTGCACAGTTACTGAAATCCTCATCTGTCTGGGAATGCTGAGCATATATTTCATACATTTCTTTCAATCTGCTAGCAATAGCTTCGGTTGGATCTCGTGAACATGTCCTTAAAAAAAGTAATTATTGCATTTCAAGATCTTGCCAAGTCACAAAGCAGAAAATTGTTTTTAACTGTCATTTCACTATTCTGTAGATATAAAATTGTACAGAAACTACACACTTCCCAAATTAATGCAAGAGATCCCACATTTTTCTTTTTGAAGATTTATTCATGCAAACAGAACTGGGGCACAGGCTAGAGGTGCAGGGAAGATGAGAGGACTCACCAGAGACAGAGTGGGGAGCAGAACAGGTAGATCATGAAGTCCACTGCTGAGGGGAGCAGCGGGCTGGCCAGGAGAGGTCTGCTGCACCATGTGGTCACCTCTGGAACCAGGGATTGAACTCACACTGAAGCAGCTGTGTCCTAAACCGCTGCGCAACCAGGGAGGGCCAGATCCCACATTTCTTAATCATAGATGTTCATATTATCATTATGAGAGGGGGGAATAAAGTATTTCTTGTATGAAGCTGTGCTTTTTACAACACCAGGTTTAGCAACTTGACCAGCGTCCATGACAGGCCCCACTTACCCTTCACATCTGCAGTCACTAATAACAAGCAAACTTCAAAGGTTTCCCTAGCGGGCAGTACAATGCCCCTGTAGTAGTGGGAGAAAGTAGAATGGTGCTGTATATAATCTATACAACAAATTCATGTAAACCATTATTGGCATTCTACATTTTTTGCCTTCAAAACAAGGTACAGTTCATAGTTTTTTGTTGTTTTTCTTTTAAGAAAGGCAATCTGTGTTCAATGCAGAAGGCCATGTGGACTTTTGTGGCACCTATGATATCTTGATCATATTTATACAGTCATCATAAAAATACAGTAAGTCTAGAAAATCATAAACAGAATTTAAAAGGTTATAATCCTCCTAGAGACAGCTATCAGGTATCTCATACAAGCAGAACTTTATTTCTGCACACGCACCTTTCTACAAAAATAGGGCCCTTTGCTTTTACCTCGTAAGTACTGCTATTGTTTAATCCCACTACATGACCATAAACAAAATAGGCTCCTATAGAATCTGTACCATCAACTCATACATAAGCTTTTAAGACTAGGAGGGGAAGAAATTTTTCAAATAAAGCTGCCCTAAGGGCCTCCCTGATGGCACCATTAAGTCTCAGCATTACTGCAGCAGCACGAGTTCGATCCCCGGGCAGGGAGTGACCCACAGGGCACAGCAAAACTCTCCTGTCTCCCCGCTGCTCCTCTCGGCAGTGTGTTTCAGTCTATCTGCCTGCTCTGCTCCCCACTCTGTCTCTGGTGAACCCACACCTCTGGCTTGTACCAGTTCTTATGTGCATAAATGAATCTTTTAAAATAAATAAATGGATAAGCTGCCAATAATTATGTCCCGGCTCTGAGGTTCAGCCTGCTGTGCTTTTCATAAAGCTCACTCATATCCCACCAGTCGCAGGTAGATCAAAGCAAGGAAAGACAGTTACCTTCCTTTCCAGGCTAATGATGTCCCACGGAGATTACAGAAGTTGCCGTGGCTTTATAGTGGTGGTGACTGTAACTCTGTATGTTCAGATATGACCCACCCTTTAGTTATTTGCTCAGGTTCAATCCTCGTCATGAAGTCCTCTGTCAACTATCTTCACTGAACAGCTGGTAACAATTTGTTCCTGTGGTGTTAACTTTCTCTCTCCTGTACTATATTCAGCTGAGAACTTACTGTGCGTGCCCCCTCCCCCAAGTTAAACCTCACCCCCAAGGTGCTGGCCTTTGGGTATGACTAGGTCATGAGGGTGGAAGGCCCATGAATAGGGCTAGTGCCCTTAGGAGAGAGATCCCAGTGAGAGCCCCTTGCTTCCTTCTGCCACATGAGAACACAGCCAGAAGATATGTGAACCAGGAACCAGGTATTAACAAACACTGAATTTGCTGGTAGCTTGAATTTGGACTTTTAGTTTCCAGAACTTGAGAAATGAATTTTTGTTGTTTAAAAGTCATCCAGTCTATGGTATTCTGGAGACTAAGAAGCTAAGGAAAATTCACCATCACCTACTCATACCTTTTCTGTTGCTGTTATGTTGTCTTCTACAGATTAACAATAGGAGTAAGCATGCAAGTCCAGACTGATACACAATTATCAATCTGTGAATGAAGGCACTAACAGTGAAAACTTTAAATAAAAAATTGGAAGGTAGTCAACCACCAAATCTTAGAAGGTAAGAAGGGCTCAAACTAACCTTAGAATCTGTTCCAGTTTCTCACTTGGTGCATTCCTGAGGCCTGCTAGCATGGTGTGAAGACGACTCAGGCTATGTGTCGCAGTAGAAACTGGAGTCACACAAGGGCTGCTATCCTTAATGTACCTCACACCAGTAAGTGGTGTGGAGATTCTAAGTGCTTTAGACTAAAAGGGGAGGGGGAAAACAGTATTTTACATCAGAACACTTTTAATTCACAAATGAGAATTCAAGTCAATCAAACTTCAACTTTACATTACCATTAAATTTTCATGATTCAGGCATCACTGAGAGCCACCATTATCCATATGAAGAAATATGAAAGGACAATTTACAATTTAGCCAACAAAAAAGGTTGTCTATTAGTGTCAAACCTTTATAAGACAAAACATATTTCTCGACTTCCAAGTTTCCTTTAAAAATTAAGCCAGGGCAAAAGTAGCATTAAAAAATCAAGGGAAAACAAAAATAATGAACAACCATATACCAGAGACATTCTGTGGGGGCGGAGTGGGGAGTGGGATCAAAAACGGGGGGCGGGGAGGGAGGGAAATGCACGGGATTATGGTGGTGGCAGAGGGGTGATTTGGTGATGGGAAACCCGCGAGGATTACAATCGAGATGGAAAAAAAAATGTGCAAAATGATGTAAAAATAAACTTTGTAATAAAAAAAAATCAAGGGAAAAAAGTGCACAGGACTATGGTGATGGCACAGGGGTGATTTGGTGATGGGAAGCCCACGGGGATTACAACTGAGATGGGAAAATGCACAAAATTATATAAAAGTGAATGATTATATTAAAAAATTTTAAAAATCAAGAATAACCATGAAAAACAGAATTTCACAGCTTCCATCTGCTGTTTTTGTAAATATTTAAGATTAACATAAGCTGGGAATTAAATATGGCCAGAATGAAGTCCAAAATTTAACCAAAAACCATGTAAATCAGCAAATGTCTTTCAGAGAGAAAAGAACACAAACATTCCCATTTCCACTTGATCTTGAATCATTTCAAAAAAATTATTGATTTTAGTATTTTTACATCAATAAGATGATCTGACTAGATTAACGATGATCAGAAGCCTACGACTTGTCCTGACAGCTTTTCCTGCAGCCGACTTTTCCCCACACGTGACCAGATTCTCTGCTGGGAGGCGACACCCCATACTGAAGCAGCAGCAGCACCCCGCTACGCTGCCGGCTGGCGAGCAGCGCTCCGCAGACACAGGCACAAGGCCGCCACAGCCTCCTGCCCAGCGTACGCACCGTGGGCACAGGGCTTCTTGGAGCACAGCAGTCCTGAGCCTCTTGTGCATCAAGAGGGGTCTTTCTTCAGCACAGGTAAAAACACTTAATATTTTTAAGTATCAGGCTAGTCCTTCTCTAAATTCCTTCTTCCAAATTTTGTAGTACCTAGAACTCTGTGGTTAGACTCATTTATTCTCATCAACTCCTGCTGTTGGTAATCTCACTTTAAATGTTTTCTGATTTTATTTTTAAAGGTAAATTTTGTCTGTTCTTTTGTTAAGATTTATTTATTAATGTATACGAGAACTGGGGTGTAGGCCAGAGGTACAGGGGTATGAAGATTCAACAAAGACATAGAGGGGAGCAGAGCAGGCCGACTGACTGAAATATACTGCTGAGGGCAGCAGGGGTGAGAGAGAAGAGGCCTGTTGTGCCAACTGGGTCACCTCTGTGGCTGTGGATCTAACCAGAGCTGCAGTTAATGCTCAAGCTTCATAGTACTGAGACTTAACCCCTTGTGTCATCAGGAAGGCCCTTGTTTGTTCTTTTAGATGTGCTTTGGCTGAATAACTTAAGCCTTAAGAATCTTCAGCTTTCTGGATCCTCCCTGGTGGTGCAAGGAATTAAAAGCGTAGGGCTATGAAGCTGTCTGCAGCCACTGCACAAGTTCCATCCCTGGCCAGGAACCCAACCCCCAGGATGCAGCAGACCTCTCCTGTGTTATTCACTGTACTGCTCAGCAGTGCATTTCAGTACATCTGCTTGTTCTGCTCCCCTCTCTGTCTCTGGTGAATCTTCTCTAACCCCGCCCCAACCCCCGCCAACTTTGGCCTATAACCCAGTTACAGTATGCAAAAATAAATAAATCGTTTTTAAAAAATCTCCTGCTTTCCTTAAGTGCCACTGAGCTGTTAACAATGTATTACAACAGGAGTAGATGTTTCATAGGTAACTAAGTAGAATTATTACATCTTCAGTGGGATAATTTTTAAATAATTTATCTAAATATATTACGTCATTGTTCATTTTCTGCACTGGCTTTTCTTCCCACTGCCAAGTCCCCTGTGCACCACCACCATAGTCCCTTGTGCTCTTTCTTGTCCTTGTTTGATCCTTCCCCCTTCCCTTCCACTGCAGAATGTCTCTGATTTATAGTTCCCTGTTTACTTTTGTTATTTTTTTCCCTGTTCCCTTACATGGTCCCCTATATTCCTCATATAAGTAAAACCAATTAATATTTTTCTTTTTCCTCCTTGGCTTCTTTCACTGAGCACAATCCCTTCAAGCTCCACTCATGTTGCTGCCACTGGCATTCATTTATATTTTTTGGTTGCTGAATAGCGTTCTATTGTGTATAAATACATCTTCTTGATCCAGTTATCTATTTTCAGGCATTTGGGTTGTTTTCAAATCTTACCTACTATAAACAGTGTTGCATAAACATAGAGGTGCGTGTACTCTTTTTGAAAATGTTTTTGTGTCCTTCGGGTAGATCCCTAGGAGTGGAATTGCTGGGTCATATGGTAGTGTCATTTTTAGTGTTCTGAGGACTCTCCACACAGCTTTCCATAGTGGTTGGGCCAGTTTGCAATCCCACAGCAATGTAGGAGAGTTTCATTTTCACCACATCCTTGCCAACATTTGTAGTTGGTAGTTTTTTTTTAAGATGTGCCATTCTCACTGGTGTGAGGTGGCATTTCAGTGCAGTTTTAATTTGCAATTCCCTGGTTTAGAGGGATGTTGAACATTTTTTGATATATTTGTAGGCCATTTCCTCTTTGGAGAAGTATCTTGTAAGTTCTTCTGTCCCTTTTTTTTTTTTTTCTTACTAGATTGTTGATTTTGTTTTTGTTGAGTTGTATCAATTCTTTACATATCTTTTTGAGTAGTCCCTCATCAGTTGTATGGAGTGCAAAACTTTGCTCCCAATCAGCAGAGTGTCTCTTTGTTTTGGTTAATCTCTCCTTGCTGTACAGAAGAAGCAGTTTAATTTTATGTAATCCCAATAGTTTATTTTTTCCTTCACTTGTTTTACTTTGGGTGATGAGTCTTTAAACATGTTAGTGAGATGTATATCATGTAGTGTTTTACCTATATTTTCTTCTATATATTTTATAGTTTCAGGCCTTTTACCTATTTTGAGTTGATTTTTGGCATGGTGTGAGGTAGTGGTCTAGTTATACTCTTTTGCATATTGGTGGGAATATCTTATTTCTTGCAGGCTTTCTCTAACCTCTAAATAAAATCTAAAATAACATTTGCATAAAATGTCCAGGTTGCTGGGGTTGATGGATAGCTATCTGGGCGAACCACTGGTAGAGTATCATGGTGGCCATGTGGGTCTTTCTAGGCTGTGCAGTACTGGCAGGGTTCTCATGGGAGGTCAAAGGGCTTTTGGAAGCGTCAGCAGGCACAGACAAGGTCCTGCAGCAGATTACCTGGTTTCTGCAGGGTGGTGTAGGTAGGTGGTATTGCCTGGTTCCAGTCCGGTTGGACATTGGTGAGTTCTTACAGCAAGTCATAAGACCTCTGGTGACCTGGGCATGGATCAGTGGGTTCTTGCACAAAAGGTCACAAGGTCTCAGGGTGCTCTGGCTCCCCCCAAAAGGGGTCTGAGGTCTCCCTTTCTTCTTACTCCTTAATCACTCTTTCCTCACTCTGTTTCTACCACGTTGGTGTTCTCAATGTTATGTTTCTACCTCACGACTTTGTACTTGACGTACAAATACGTTTGTACTTGTACTCAGCTTCAAATACATTTCCACAACGTGACTTAATTGAGCTCTCTGTTTATAATGCCTTCTTAAAGACACCTTTCCCAACCACTATCAACAGCAGCTGCAGGAACACCCATTCTCTCCTCTCCCCAATACTTTGTATTACTACTGTGTTTTACTTCCCTTCATAAAGCATCATCTGACAGACTATATATTTACTGGTTTGGTTATCTATTGGCCATTTCCACACAATATAACGTAAGCTTCTTTAGAAGAGAATACCTGTCTGTTTTGTTTATTGTTGTATCCTGTGCCCAGAACATAATCTGGCATAGAGAATACCTTGACAATACTTGTTGAATCAATAAGCAAACCAGTCTCAAATGTGTCTTACAGGAGAACTACCCCTTGACATATCCCACTGCCTTTGGAGGCACTTGTCAGAATTGTGTATTTTCTGTGAACGACACACAATAGAAAGGAAACTCTTAGTTTCCATCACCCTAAATGTTCACATGAAACACCAGTGATCCTGACCCACAGGGTTTTCCAAAGACTGTAGATTCTCAGTTTTTCTGGTCTCTTAGATTAAGACACCAATTAAGGTCAATCAGCATCTTTTAAATGCTATATTCAGTATTTAGAGGCTATATATTATTGGCAATCTTTTCAAAAACATTGTCAGCATGACATATTCATTTAGATATATTAAATTTTCTTTTTCTCAGATCTAACCACGAACAATGAAAGCTGGCATCAACAAAATTAACTCAGTAAACACAAAGATAAGTTTTCAATTAAAGTGAGTATGATGGAAATTTTCTCTTTCATACCGGGAGTAAGAAAACACACAAATACACACACTAACCAAAATAAAATAGAACCTTGGACACCTGTTTCTGTATCTTCTGGCTCAGCTCACCTTGTCAAAGTGCTGCTGCAAGATGTTTTTCATCTGTACCCGTTCAGCAGTCTCTGTTCCTGAGCCAATATTCAGACACCTTGAGAGCGTCCCAATTTCCTCTTCAGCATCCTCCCCAAGAAATATTCGTTCATCTAAATTCCCAACAGATAAAACATACTCCTCATAGGCCTTATTGATGGCTTTACTATAAGAGAAAAAAAAAAAAAAAAGACATTCACAGAACTGCCATTTCATTTAATGATTCATGTCACTAAATTTCATCTTTTAACTTATTAACAGTTCTAGAACTTTTTTTTTTTAAAGATTTATTTATTCATACAGAACTGGGGTACAAACCAGTGGTGCAGGGGTAGTGAGAGGCTTCACCAGAGACAGATTAGGGAGCAGAACAGGCCATTGATGAGGTACACTGCTGAGGGGAGCAGTGAGAGAGATAGGAGAGGCCTGCTGTGCCATGTGGGTCACTAATGGGGTGGGGGTTCAAACTCACATTGAAGTGGCTGTGGCCAGCTTGCAGTGCTGCATCCTAACCCATTGTGCCACCACAGAGGGCCCTATAGAACTTTTGTAAAAGTTAAATTTCAATGGGATCATTATTAAGCATAAAAACTGAGGAGTTCAGGGCCTCCCTAGTAGCACAAGGGGTTAAGTCTCAGCATTATCATGTTATTGCCAGCCATTGCAGCACAAATTCCATTCTCTGCCTGAAGCTAACCCACAGGGCACAGCCAGACCTCTCCTTTCTCCCCACTGTTTCCCTCAGCAGTGGATTTCAGTAGATCCACCTGTTCTGTTCCCTACTCTGTCTCCGGTGAATCCTCTCACCATTACCTCCACCCCATATCTCTGGTCCACCCCAGTGCTTACATGCAAAAAAGGATAAATCTTTAACAAAACCAAAAACAAACAAAAAACTGAGGAGTATAAACTGTGAGTTTGCTGCACAATGCTCATCCACTACATAGTAAGTACATCTAGTTACAGTTTTTTAGGTTGCCCTGTACGCTGTACAAATCTGCCTGGTAGGCAGTCTCTGTACATTTAGTTATCTTTCCTAACTGCTCTAGGCACCTTTGAAGAGTTCCATAATCACTTTTCATCTATCATCACTTTTCACCTATAATGAGTTCTAAAAGAATTTATTAAAAAATTTTGATCTGGGCCTTCCCTGGTCGTGCCACGGGCTAAAGCACAGCACCGGAGAAGCTAAAGCCACTTCAGCATGAGTTTGATCCCTGCCCCGGAGGTGACCCACAAGGCACAGCAGACCTCTCCTGACCTGCCCGCTGTTCCCCCTCAGCAGTGTACTTCATCAGTCGACCTGTTCTGCTCCCCACTCTGTCTCTGGTGAATCCACTCACAGCATCTGTGCCTCTGGCCTATATACCCCAGTTCTGTATGCATAAATAAATAAATTTTGGAAATCTGAGTGTCTTTAAAAAAAAAATTATGATCCAAAAGCTTAAGTATTAACTATTAAAGTCACACAATTTTCAGTAAATTTAAAAACAAGTGCTTAAAGTAGCAATTTATTTAAAAAAAAAGTAGCAATTTATAGATTTTTTAAAAATTGCTTTCATATATTCTCCCACAAAATATATTCTAAACTTCCAGGATACATGCAAAGAAAACAATAAACTCTTAGATATACAAATTATACTCACAAACTCTCTCCAAAGTTGCCAGGTTCTAAAAATCCAGTAAGATTTTCTTCTTTTCCCTTAAGAAGCTAGATGAAATAAAAGAGTTTTAAGTCATCATATTAAGGAAAATCTTTCCCCAGAAATTATTTTCATAGTATGTCTTTACTACTTACAAACCTTTTTTTCATAAAGTTTCCTAATATAGGGTTTCCAGAAATGTTCCTTTATTCCTTTTGCTTCCAAAACTAGGCCATCATGTAAGGAACAGAGTTTCTCAATGACACAAGGTGGGTCAGAGGAAGGTTTAGAGTCCTTAGTATGGAAATCTTCAGACAGGCCTAATATATAGAATTACAGAACAGAGACATTCAAGTAGTACTCCATAAGCAAAACTGTAATAAACTAAATTCTATCTAATAGAATCCAACCAGCTTATGAGTTAGCATATGAAAATATAGGAAATACTGTATAAAAGCCTATTTGACTAAAAATAGCAAATAAAAGTGAAATACAACACTACCCAAGATCTCAATTATTCAATTATCTGTCTGGACAAGGTTGAAAGATTAAAAATTAAATCAGTAACTTTGGTACAGTGCTAAAAGATCTAAAACACTCTGCAAATAAGCCTAACATTTAAACAAAATTAACACGCTGAAAAATTTATAGTTGAAAGATTATGCATACTTTCATATATTTTTACTGCATTTATTTATCATATTATCTTGCCTTAGATTTAATGCCAGGAAAAAAAAAACACAAGAAAAATAAAAAGGGGGAAAAGTGAAGGGAAGTAGCTATAAAGAAATATAAAAGGAGTAAGGAAGGAAATGAGAGAAAGGATACAATATGAAAGACATTAAATTTACCAAACTAGGAACAAATGAAACAACTAAAAATCTAAATTGAGAGTCAGAAAACAGGCTGAAATTCTCGTTATAACCACCCAAAAATTGATACTCAGAATCATACTATGGTATTATTCAAAAGATGATAGTACTATATACTAGCTTTATAAATAAAAGTACTTTACTATGGTGATTGCACATGGGTGATTTGGTTATGGGAAACCCAAGGGGATTGCAACTGAGCTGGAAAAATGCACAAAAATATGTAAAAATAAAACTATTATAAAATAAAATTTTTAAAATATATATTGTCAAAAAAAAAGAAAACAAAACAAGTACCTTAATATTTGTCTTGAAAATCATAATTTGGAATTATAATGTATATAATTCACAGAATCACGTACTTTACAGACTACTAAATGCACTGCCAAAATAATAATTTCCTACATAGTTTAAGCGCTAATATGTGCATTTACTTCAGAACCATAACTATTACTCTTCTGTAGAAACTAATGAAGATTCTTTGATGTCATTTTTGCTATTCCAGTTTCTAAATGTCTTCTTTTTGTTGAACACTTCAGAAACTTCTAAAGTTATCATCTAAGACTTTTGTGATATTGCATTTCCTTTTACCATAAATATTTTTATAGAGAACTCAGCTCCTAGTTAGACGTTCTCTGAATAATTACGATAGAACTTTTCAAAGCACTTATTATGTACAGAACTTCTAAGTGTGAATAAGAAGTGAAGTGTGGGCTGTCCAATAACCTTTGATTTACAAACTTACCTTTAAAATTAGGGTTCACAAGTTCTTTACGATTAGAACACTGAAGGGCATTTCCATAAACTAAGTCCAAAGCACAGAGCAGAAGATGATAAGAATTGACCAAATCATCACTGATCATGGGAAAATTGCCTACAGGATTATAAAAAGATTTAAATTTGCATTAGCTTACTTATTTTAAATATAATTTCTTTTAAAATGACATACAGCACTACATGAAGCTGACTCAATGGCTATTCAAAGTGGTTTTAAAAGCTATATTTTGGAATATTACTCTTAAGAGTTTAATAAATTTTAAGAGTTTGATAAAAACCAAAACTTAACCAAAAATTTATTCACTCATTTTCATTATCTAAGCATTATCTAAGCATTATCTAAGCAAAATTTAATCATTTATCTTATCCTTTGAACATTCCGAACACAAAAAGCTTCATAAGTTATCTGTGAGAAGCTGCATAATACTTAAAATTGATAGGGTAACAAATGAAAAACAATTCATGCAATTATTTTTGTCACATATGTACATGTTACATGTCACAGTGGTAATATTTTAAATACTTTTTTCCATAGTGATTGTAAGTTCATACAAATTAATGCAGCAGGACCACAATCAAAGATATTAAGTTCTAGAGCTAGTATTCCAGGAATAATTATCAGTGCTGTTCACAGAGAAACCAAAACTGCAGACTACAGAAACACAATTTTGGCCGTGTTAAGCCCAACAGTGAAGACAGTTGTTAGATGCAGTTAAGTCATTTTATGCTTCTTAGAAGGTATATTTCTGTGACTTTAGGCATATTCTTTTTTTCCCACTGGACACTTATAAATATCTGCTTCTTATTGATCTTACAACATTTGATGAATTCAAATAGCTAACATACATCTGAAGAATTACTTCTAAACCACAACATTTTTACCCTTAATTCCTACTCAAATGTACACACACACACACACACACACACACACACACACACACTGCTTTACTTCAGGGTTCTCTCCTTTCTGCCACTCACTTAGCATATCATCATAAGTAATTCTTTTTTTGTACAGAGGTAAGCATTCAATATAGCAAGCTGAATGAACTGAAGAAGAAAATATTTTTCTGATGCAGAAGGCCAATTATAATAGGTTAAATTTTGCACCAATCTAACCAAACTTAATTGCTTGGCTCCCCTGTAAAGAAGTTTAATGTTAAGACAAAATGTTCTTCAAACGTAAAGCAGGAAGTGGTACCTGCTGCTTTCGAGCTACAAAACCTGCTATACTAAGCCTACACTTGTCACTGGTGTCTACTTACCACAGAAGAAAACCAGCAGCACTATAACTTCTACCAAAAAAGCTGAAATGACTCTAACGATTAGAATCTAATTTAAACTCCAAGACTGTCCCAACATGACAATTTCAACCCTGACTTCAGAAATAAATCTCACTTGAGGAGACTTCTTTATTTTTCTCATAACAAAGACAACCTGTGTCTTCTCCCCTGAGTCCACTTATTTGTGAGATCCCGAAGAGTTGGGATCTCACAAATACAGGAAGTCGAGCTGATGGTCTTCAGGCCACAAAGTCCTTCATGTGAACTAGCCCCACCTTGTTACTGGTGTACACTGCCACAGGAAGGCAACAACAAAGAACGCACAAAGAGCTGGCTTACTTAGCAGGAGCAAGATAATCTGGATGCCCATGTGCTACGAAGAAAGTCATGAGAAAGGGCTGAAAAAAGTAAACCTCCCTCCAAAATAACTATATCAAGAATTGAATAAAATCAACTGAACTACTCTATTAGAAAAGAACCTAATGGAGAGCAAAATCTAAATAAGGACAATAAAATTCCTTTTCAAGATCATGCTTAGTGAAATAAGCCAGAAAGAAAAGGTAAATACCGGATGGTTTCACTCAGAGCAGGAATATAACAGACCAGGCGAGAAAATAATAATGAACAGCTATATACCAGAGACATTTTATGGGGTGGAGTGGGGAAATGCACTGGACTATGGTGATGGCACACAGGTGATTTAGTGATAGGAAGCCCAAGGGGATTACTACCGAGATGGAAAAAAATGCACAAAATGATGTAAAAATAAAATATTATGTTACCTATAAAAAAATTCCTTTTCAATAGTTTTATAAAGAACCAAGCACGACCCTTCCTGGTAGTGCAACAGGTAGGGATGCAGCATTTCGAGCTGGCCACAGTTGCTTCAGTGTGGGTTTGATTCCCCGCCCCGGAGTTGACCCACATGGCGCAGCAGACCTCTGTCTGGTCCACTGCTCCCCTCAGCAGTGTACTTTGTCAATCTGCCTGGTCTACTCCCCACTTCTGTCTCTGGTGAATCCTCTCACTGTCCCTGCACCTCTGGCTTGTACCTCAGTCCTGTATGCATAAATAAGTAAATCTTAAAAAAAAAAAAAAAAAAAAAAGAACCAGACACAAGTACTCCTAAGGACATATACACTATCACCAAACTCTAAAATTCCAAAATTCAGATACACCTGCAGTAATATGAGGAATTTAATATCATATATAATAACAGACACACAAAGTTAAAACATGTGAAAACCACTATGAAAGCAGCTCCTATGATCCTAAGTCTTTACTTCACCACTGATAATATCACCTTCATCTCCATTAAAAAAATACACCAATGTGATGGGAAGCAAAATGACTAACATCTTTTTCTCTGACCTAAGATTCTTTTCATGGAAGGAGGATGAGTTCTCACCTAACTAGATTACATGAATCAAGAGCAGTGGAGTGCCTCCCAAGAAGGTCCTCGCATCCAGTACAAACCACAGTTAGATCTGGGTTCAAATTCTAGCTGTTTCCAGCAACTTGTTTTGGAGTCTCAACTACTTAACCTTCAACTAAGTTGAACTAGTTGATCCATAAGATTTTCTCCTTCCAGCTTCTTGAATCTCTATAACTATGCATTTTAGTGGACTATCTTAAAGGCAGAAGTATTCTACAAGGTCTATAGATGAATGCTATACAACTAAATATACTTTGCTCTGTATTCCTATGCAGAATCATTTCATAGAAATACAGAGGACAAAAATACAATAAAAATTTATTACCTTGAATGCATATCTTGGGCAGGTTAAATGAGAATAGGAAAGAACATAGATTGTATCTACAGGCACCTGATCCAGTATATTTATCTAAACAAGGTGTCAGAAGTAATATGAGTTACTCCTCAGGGTGATCAGTTCCATTCAACTAAACATGTCTTGTGAAAAAGACAACTTCAAGATACATGCATACATATCATAATTCAGAACAGCTTTGAGTGAAAAGATAATATGTAAGAAAATTACAGAAATTTCTATTTAATAATAACAACTTTAGATATTGTAAAGAAATTAAAAATATGTTACGAAAAAAGCAATACATAAAGAATCTGGGATTAAAACCTTTGAGAAACATCATTCAAAAAAGTAGAACCTGAACATTTAAATAAACTAAATCTAAATAAATATTACTCTTTTCTTACCTTTTGCATATATAAAAAGCACCCAACAAAAATGGAAAACTTCAGACACCGTACAGGGCTGTCGCCTTTGGGAGAGAAAAAATTTATAAGATAACAAGAACTAGAAAAAGACATTATGAACAACTGCAGGAGCCTTCCTGGTGGGGCAGATTAAAGTCAGCCTTATGAAGCTGTGAGCAGCCTCTGCAGCATGAGCTCAATCCCCAGCAGGGAGGGACCCACAGGGCACAGCAGACCACTCCTCTCTCCCCACTGCTCCCCTCAGCAGTGGATTTCAGTAGATCCACCTGTCCTGCTCCACACTCTGTCTCTGGTAAATCCTCTCCCTCCCACCCCGCATACACCTCTGGCTTACAACCCAGTTCTTGTATGCATAAATCTAAAAAAAAATAAACGAATATAATTCAGTGAGACTCAAAATCCACAATTAGTGGATGTGACAACAGATTTAGCTTGAAGTGGAAAATGTATAAGAAGTTCTGCTCCATCCAAATATTGGTAGAAAATTGCCGGGACCCCTGAAAAGAGCTCACTTTAGAAAGAAGAAAATTCTACTCAACTGTACAAGGTCAAGATCAGTAAGGCAGAAACTAAGACAAGCAAAAGTCATTCTCCTGAGGAGCCTGCAGGACGGGTGCTGCTGTGAAGACTCATGTGCAATCAGCTACTCCCCAACTACCTCCCCGCCCTCACAGCCAATGAACTGTAGAGAGCTCCTTTCCTAAAGACACTCCAGATTACACCAACTCAAAAAGGCCATTAAGTATAAGCTATGGGTGTCCTAACAAGGATACTTACTGTATTTTCAAGTGTCTGCAAAAAGGCATTTCAGACTTCTTAGGCTTGGCTTTTCTACCAACACCTGTGCCAACATTCATATCCCAATAGCCTTATTCTAACAAGGTGCTCCAGTTAGAGAACAAACAGGAGACCAGGATTCGGACACCAACAGGTAAGTACACTAGCTCTCCAAACCCTCTATCTGGATGATAATTTAGTTTTGATGTCTCCCAAGGTAAGTAAAACTGTTCAACTTAACCCTTAAACCACTAAGAACTAACTCTGTAATTTGAGAAATCTAGAACTTGAGGCTTTGCTCCTTCTCTATCTTCATTCTTTACCTCCTGCATCAAAGGTTCTAACTTTCTCCAAACTCATCTATCAAATCCTACCCATCATTCAAGACCTAATTTGCCTCATTCCATGGAAGCTTACCTGGCTGGCCCATACAGGGTGGTTTATTCTCCTCAGAAGTCCTGTATTTCTATTATTTTTGCACTCACAAGACTTTTATATTAAGTGCACAAACTGGAATCTTTATACAAGCCTCCATCCCCAACGAGACTGAAAATGCTCAAGAGAAGAGACTGGCTTTGCGTTCCTATCTAGCAAGTACTCTGCGTAGTAAGTGCTCGGTGCACACTCAGTGAAAAACTGTTAAAGGAAGGTCTGTGTGAGGTGATGCAGTTGGTGAAGCAGCCAGACCACTGAAGTCTAAGCACAATGACTTAACCTCCTTTGCCCCCACCTGCATCATCAGCATTAGCCTCATAAGATTGTCAAAGGGATTAACTGAAACAATACAAGTTAAAGTTTTCGAAGAGTCGCTCCTCAGTAAATTATTTTATTTTTATTACCCAAAAATACTACCAAAAAATGCTATAAATGAAAACTTTCTAAATGAAGCTATCGTCACAACTTCCTTAATTGAAACACACACCTTATCTAATCAAGCACAATCTGAAATTTTTTCCCACAACACTCCAAAGAAGAGATCCCATTCCTTTCTATGAAGAGTCACATCAGCCTTGCTCTGATTCAGGTAAAATCTTCTATTTAAACTTCTAGAACATTTAAACAGCTGACTCCCCCAAATTGCAAGTAAATGAGAGCAGCTGGATATAAAAATGGTACATGATTTGTTTTCTTTTTGAAGGCTGCTCACTTGTTGCAAATACCTTCATCATTGGGGAATTTTTCTTACAAAGATTTATTTTATTTAGTTATGCATATAAGACCTGGAGTGCGGGCCAGAGGCGCAAGGCTATGAGGACTCACCAGACCCAGAGTGGAGAGCAGAACAGGTGGATCTACTGAAATCCAGTGCTGAGGGGAGCAGGGGGAGACAGGAGAGGTCTGCTGCGCCCTGTGGGTCAGCGCTCGGGCCCAGGATCCAACTGGTGCTGCAGCAGCTTCACAGTGCAGAGATTTAACCCCTTGTACCACCAGGGAGGCCCAATTTGGAAATGTATTGATGGAAAAGTTACATTATTGAATAACTTCTTTTACCTTACTCTTCTTGTTAACATTTTTCTGTTTTTCTTTAAGAACAAACTTCCACTTCTATCTTATGAAAAAACTTAACACTCTAAAGGCAGAGACTCACAATAAATTGACCAATTGCCCTCACCTACCAGGACAGAGGGAGAACACCATGCTGGGTATGTCTGTAGATACGCAGACATGACAGGAAAGGACAGATCTGTTACAGGGTCAGCTCCCCATTCTCCCGACAACCCAGCTTCCCCACTCTTGCTAGGTCATAAACAGCAAAATACATAGCTGGCCATTACCCGGCATGATTACTCAGCTTGACATGAAAGTCAAATTATTAGAAATAATATCTAGAAAATGACAGTCAGTAGTCAGTAACAGAAAATCAAGTAGTCAAGTCCTATATACAAAATGCAGTTAATGGATGAAAATCTCTAAAGTGCAACTTTTGCACTGTCTGTTGCTAAAGCAAAAAGGAAAAGCTTATACAAACAAAACCTCTGGACATTCTACAATGTGAAAGCTGCAAAATTCATGGCTAATATACATTTGAAAACGAGAAACTATCACTAGCAGAAAACTATTCAAGAAAATAATTATTTCTGAAGCCCCTTTCTTTTGTTAAGACCAGCAAAATCCACTGGGGACACAGGCAAGGGGTGGAAACCCACTGCGGGACACGTGCAATCTTGCGACGTGAACAGAAGAACGCACCGCTGTTTTCTTCCTCTTTGTTGACGAGGCTGCTCTTCTTGAGGATATTTAAAAATGTCTTGAAAAATGGGCTCATATTTCTTAAAAATTACAGCAGAAACAGTGAAGTTTCTTTCTAATCTCTCAGTCCGTTCTCTGAAATGTGGGGGTAGATCTGCCATGTCTTCCCACTTCTTCATCTTGTTAAAAAATTCAATTAGGCTGGTATTAAAAACAAAAGATGAAATATTTTCATAGTTAACACCAATACCAATGTACAGTATATAGACACAGATAAAGGCAACCCAAAACTAATCCCTTCATTATATGACTTTTAGACTGACACAAAACCGCAAGTCATGCCTCGTGCAACTTACTCATGAAGTGGCTACTTCTCTGATCTTAGCCTATGTTTCTGTTGAGATGATCTCAGGGTATATTTAAAATTATGAAACATATAAGTGAGGTAATGGAAATAATTTCCCTGTTCCCAACTGCCAGGTTTAACATTGACATCCCAAATAAATTTTGCCCATGCTTGTTTCATACTCTATAGAGAAGGTGAATTCCCCATTCTGCTTCCTCAGATAACCACCATTCTAAAGTTGATCTGAATCTTTCCCATCTATGTTTATATACACACATACACATATCTATCCACAAGTGGTAAGAAATGTCTTCTGTGTATGGTTTTTATTTTATATAAATGGTATCATATTGTAAGTATGTTCTGCACTTGTTCACTCCATGTTTCTGAGACGAATTAATATTGATACATCTAATCTAATTCACTAGTTTAAATTGCTAAAAATATGCCTTCAGAAGAATTATCATTTTTGACATTCATCCCCCAACCGGTAGAAAAATCGAGGTTTCTAATTCACAAAAAAACCAGTAATGGACACTTCTTGTACATGTATTCAAGTTCCCCTAGAAACTATCAAGAAGTAGAACAGTTGAGTTGGAGAACGTGCTTCGTTAGCTATGGCTAACAAATGCCCCAGTGCAGTGGCTGTGCTGGTTTACACTGGCACCCACATGGTACCTGCTGGGTATTACCAGATTTCAAATTTCCCCAGTAGTAAGAGAATTTAAACGCCACCTCACTTTATACTTCAGCTTCCCTTCATCACTAGTGAAGGCGAACATCTTCACCTGCGTTAGCTATGTGATATCTGCCTTTATGAAATCACATCCTTTACCCATTTTTAGTAGTTGTCAATTATCTAGCCATTTAACAGTTCTCGGTATAGCTCTAAATACTGGTCTTTTATCATGCATTATAAGTATCTTCACTCAATCTGCTCTTTAGTTTTAATCCATTTAGTCCATTATGGCAGAAAAGTGAAAAATCTGAACACATTGGTAAAATAAAAACTAAGTTCTTGAAATGGAAATATCTAAAGTCCAGAATTATATTATTTGCATTAGAAATGTTAGATAAGTTTATATTCTATGACCCTTTGCAATGATAAATCCACAATTTGACCTTTGTTTCTTAAGCTCCTGTCTGACACATAACTAACCAACCTGCCTCCACTTTTCCCCTTCAGATTGACTGTACGGTTATACCTTACCTAAGTCCACTTCTGCAGATTTACAGCTCAGGTGTTCAACGCTTTATGCACTACCTTTTGTTTTTAGTCCTAAATATAACTCAAGATAGAGTTCAAGGTTAACAGTGGACTCCAGCTAAAACACATTTCTTGTTATTTAAATAGTCAGTGAATTTTTAAAACTGCTAGGTCCATATTTTGAAAGTAGAATCCCCAACCCCCCAAATGGGAAAGATTCCTTTCCCATCAACCTTTAATAAGCTGTAAGCGAATCTAAAAGGCACAAACAATATAATTATTTCAATTATACAATAGATAGAAAAAGCAATTTCTGCCTCTTCTTTAAGTATAATTCGACCCTTTCTAGAACTGATTAAAATAGTGTTGCTAACTCACAGCAGGACACTGAGAAGTAGTTACACAACACTTATATGATACAAGCCCTGTGTATGTACTTCTAAGTTTAGTGTTGTATATTTTAATTATCTTTTCAATCTAAGGTATTTCTTAAAGTTTCTTTATCTCCTTATTTAGCAATCTCCCAATATTACCCAATGAGCTGTAAATTTTAATAATAAACTTTCATACAAGAACATTAGATATCTTGTATGTTAAAATGCAAATATTTTTCAACAAAGAAGTGAAATGGAATGGGTATTAACTTAGATGGGATAAAGGAAAACCATGACCTAGCTTTTAATTCAGTACTCTGAAGGGTCAGATACTTACAGAATGAATTCCTACTATCCCTAGATTTATATGAGCAACACTCACTTTTCAAACTCTAACATAGTTACCTCTGCTCTGAACATCGCAGGATTCTAGTTAAAGATACATAGTTGCCTTCAACTGTCCCTTTGCTTACAGTTGGAACAGATTTTCTGCAAGCCACATATAAGGCACATGCTAACCAATGAAGATCATTTCCCTGCAAAATAAGAAAAAATGGATTTTTAGCTAATGAGCTAGATATACTTCAATATAAAAATGTTCCTGCCTTTAAAGTTTCCTATGTGGGACAGTGCGTTTCCTAGAGTGGCTCTATCCCATGTGTTCTTAGACACAGTCTTCCGGAGAGGAGAATGTCCATGGCCCATGTTCCCTCTGCACGCTCCTTTGCTCTGAGGCTGGCCTGGGCGTGCACCCTCATACCGCTAACTTCTCAGCCAACAGCAACAGTGAAGGTGTGTGTTTCACAACTTTCAAGCCTTAAGAGGCAGCGCAGACTGGGCCTGGAGCGCTCCCCTGGGACAGGTGCCTGAGAGTCCCCACCTGGGGCAGCACACCTGGGGTAAATTAAGTCACAGAGGATCCTTGACCTTGTTTGAGGTCTGTGAGAAATGGATTGCACATGTAAAACACAGAAAATTCAGGATACCCAAGGATAATGTTCTATAACCTGTATTCTGTACTAATTATTGCATAAAATTTATTTTCTATTATATATTTCCAGGAGACGGCCATCCCAAATGATCTCACAGCATGCACCACTACAAGCTCCACGGGGCAGGGATTCTTATGTTTTTGCCCACAGGGTCATGTCCAGCACTGAGAACAGTGTCTGGCAGAGAAAGGGGATTAAAAAGTAGTTGATAAAACATGGGTGGACACACTTATAGGAGGAATATAGAGAAAACAACAAAAAGAATCAGAAAAAAAATAACTATAACAAATCAAAATCAAAATCATCAGGGAACTACAGATCAGAAACACTGTAGGGGAGGAAGAGGGGGAGGGGTGGGGGGCATAGAGCAGAGACTGCGGTGTGGGGTTAAGATCCACTGGGAAGCCATACAGTGTACAAAAATGAAGGGTGATGTAATGATTTAAATAATAATAAAAAATAAACAAAACACTGGTGGAAAGAGCTCGGGGCTGGGTGAGGGTTCACAGGTGATGTGGGGTTAGGGTGTTTACAGGAGACAGGTATTTACACCTTAGGGGAGAAAGCAAATGCTGCACAAAAATGAACAATGTAAGAACATTTTAAAATTCATGGAGAAAAAATGCATATAAACGACGCCCAAAAAAGTATTTGATAAATGAATGTCCATTCATTTGTTGGGTCAATTGAACTAGGACTACAAGCTTGAAGTCTTAAAAAGGGTGAGTAACCAAACAGGTCACCAACCCTCTAGCAGTCGCCTGCCAGAGCAACAACGTCCTCCCGTCACTCACCAGTTACAACGGAACAGTGCAACCGCGGTGGCCGCGCTGGTCCCGGCTTATGTACAAGCATTATCCTGACGGTCAGTCACAGCAGTCCTCCCCTACAGTAAGGGCGGGGAGAGGGGCTTGGAGCCCCGTCCCCACGGGGAGCCTGGGACCCCAAGGCTCCTGGCCGCAGCCGGCGCTCCCTAAAGTCCGGGCGCGGGCCGCTCTACCCCCAGGATGGCCCCGGAGGAGAGCAGACCTCGGGCTGACTGGTCACCGGCGGGATTCGGGCAGGGCTGCGGCGGGGGTGCCAAGCCACTGGGCCGGCCGCACGCAAAGCCACAGCTCGCTCTCCGGTCGGCAACAACGGGCGCGGCCTGGCACTTCAGCCCCCTCGGCGCAGGAAGTGGAAACCGCCTCGGGGGGACACGGGTGACGCCGGCGGGCGAGAGTGGAAGCTCGCCGGGGCTGGCCCTGCCCATCCCGGCCTCCGACGCCGCACAGCCCAAACAATGTCAGGAAACCTCGGGCGGGCTGAAACGCCGGGCGGGGGCGGCCGAGCGGCCCGCACCGCGGGCTTCCGCGTCGCTCGCCATTGGCCGGCGCAGGGGCGGCGCCCACGGAGCTGAGCCTCACTGGCTGCCAGGGCCGAGTCCCCGCGGCCGTCCAAGAGAGGGACACGACGAGCCGGGGTCGCGGCGGCCGTCACCGCCCCGCTGCAAGGTCTGGGGCGACCAAGAGGGACTCAAGGTCGCCGCCGCCCGGCGACAGGCGGGG